CCCCCTCCCCCTCCCTCCCTCCCTCTCTCTCTCTCTCTCTCTCTCTCTCTCCAGGGAGTACATGTGCCCTATAGCAAGAAAGCAAGGAACAAACAAACAAATAAAACCAGACAAACATGTAATGTATTCCCATTTACTCTCATAGCTTTTATTTGTTTGAACACCTTTTCATTTATTCACCTTTCTTTTTTTTTTTATTACATAAAAAACACACACACATAAATATTTCCCAGGGTCTTTCATCTGAAAATTATATATATATTTTTTATTAAACACTATTAAATCTTAACAACCATAGATGGTAAAGATATTTTTTACTAAGAAAATTGTTGCTGGTATATACAATTTTTAAAATGACTTTTTTGAGATAAGTTGAAATCAGGTCTGAAGAAATGTAGTGGCCTCCCACAAAATTTTATCAAAGTAATGTCTAAAATTTTGGAGCCATGTATCAGGCTGAAGAATGCAGTTATGGCCTTATGCTTTATTTTTAGAAAGACTGTCATTTCAAGCTCTAGCTGCAGACCTACTGCTAATCATTGTACCAGAGCCACCAGTTGACTCATGATAAAGCCAGCACTAATGGTTCAGACCTTTTAAACACTCTGAATAGAATTTTTTCTTCACAATTGATTATTCAGGAATTAAAAGAAAACATGAGGGAGGTACTCATTTGTCCTGCCCTCACTACCACCTTTTTAGTTTTAGACTTAAAAATATGTGATCTAAAATAGGACTAAGTAAAAATGTTTGTGTTAATATTTTTTCTGCCATAATTTAAATTTTTTAAAAATTATTTTCTTCTTCTTTTTAATGATTTTATTTCCTCCTTGAAAGAGAGAGACAAGCAGGCACTCCCAGCAGAATCCTCATGCCATGATCCACTCACAGCCCCAGCTAGCCCTGCCTGGTGTGCACAGGAGGCCTCAAGATGTGAACCTGGGATCCCCACATACGGGCCCAATATTGCAGGGCACTGTGTCATTGCTGCACTGTCTAGCCCTATTATACTGTTTTAACTGACAAAAAATAGCTATATTTTCACGTATAACATGTTTTTTAAAATGTGCACATTGTGGCTAGCTTGGCTAGATTGAGCTATTAGTATATGTATTACTGTTGTTTGTAGTGAGAACATTTAAAATCTACTCTCAGCCATATTTCCAAGAATATGGTAAATTACGGGGCCAGCAGATGGCATGGTGGTTGGGGGCACTGGACTCCCACATAGCTGACTGCGGTTCAAGTCCTGGACCTGGCAGCTTGCTTTCTTACTTTCCCTCTCTCTGTTTCTCTCACTTATTCTGGTCAAATTAAAATTAATTAAAATAAAGTTGAATAAAATAATTATTTAGAAAAAATATGGTAAATTATTATTAATTACAGTGTTATACAATAGATTTCTTAAATTTATTCTTCCTGAGATTTTGTATTTTAAGTTTCTTTCTTCCATGAATGAGTGAATGAGAGAGACAGACAGCACCCCAATGAGGTCTTGATGCCTCGCTCCACCCCAAGCCACAGCCAGCCCAAGATCTTTGGCATACACATGCTCAGCATATTCAGGGAGGTCTCTGGACACGAACTCAGAGCCCTTTCTTGTGGGTCAGCCTCAGGGTGGCATTTTACTAGTCATGTTACTGTTCAGCCCCCAGATTTTCTCTTTTTTAAACAATGTCTTCTCAGCTCCAACTCTTCTATCCCTTGCTGTCCCTAGCTCCTGATAACTACCATTCTGTTCTCTGCTTGTATTAGTTTATTTTTTTTTTAGATTCCCCATGTAGGCAAGATCATGTGGTATTTGTCTTTCTGTGCCTGGCTTATTTCACTTAATTTTATGCCCTTTCGGTTCATCCATATTGTCAGAAATGATCAAATTTCTGTTTTTTTGTTTTTTGGGTTTTTTTTTAATGGCTGTATTTGTGTGTGTGTGTGTGTGTGTGTGTGTGTGTGTGCGTGTGTGTGTGGTACGTACACACCACATTCATTCAATGATGGACACTTAGGTTAATTCCTTATCTTTGTTTTGAGTTTCTGTAATATTCCATGCATTACATGTATGCTCTATATGATCTTACTTAATCTTCACACCAGTTCTAGAAGTTAGTCAGAGTCAAACACTTTAGTATATTCAGAGTTGGAAATGGCCCTTATTATTATTTCATTTTATAAATAAGCACATTGATCAGTAATTAATGGGCTTTGCCCACGCTAAGGGCTCAGTATGGTGCCGTATTGCCATAGGGTGGGTATAACTTTTCTAGTATACCTTAAGTCAGTGTCATAGAAGTGACAGGAACTCTGTTTTCATTATTTCTAATTCAGATATTTGGATCACACTACCTAAACAAACAAAGACTATAATCCTTTTACATTTCAGTAAATTCTGTAACCAGTTCTTAACGCAGTTTAGTCTGAAACACCTGATAAAAACCTGGTTTTAGGATGTGACATTGTAGTGCACATATCAATCTTCAGATCCGTATATAATAATATTTCTGCGGGAAGACAATTAAATGTCTCACCATTAGCTTGTGGAGATGACACCACTGTGTGGTTGGAGGAAGTGTGAGGAACAGTCATTTTAATACTATGTAATTTCCACATGCAGTGAATTAAACAGTGTCTCTAAATGATACCTGTTTATTTTCATAGCATGTGTATGACACTTATAATGAAATGTCTTTTTCATGATGTCGCTATGACTTGTCATCTCATGTGTGTGTACAAACAGTTGGGAAGAAAAATAAAATTTAACTAACTTTGCATCAGTTTTTAAAAATATTTTAAGAGCTTTCAAAAAAATCAAGAGGTACTTTGTCCTTTTCATGTACTACTGTAATACTGGTTGATATCATCGAAGTGGTAAAATTCCAGTTTGATTTGAATATGATTTAAAAACTATTAAACTACATATTAATAACTAAGGAAGGACAGTTAAATATGATTATCTTGTTACCAGAAATAATTTGTTGCAGAATATTTAAATTTTATACCATCATGAATTTTTTTTTTTGAGAGGTTTTTGTTATAGGGCACGTGTGCTCGCCAGACAGACAGAGACAGACAGAGAGATAGAAAGCAAGAAATCACCCCCAGGGGGGATGGCCACACCGCAATCCCTTTCTCCTCCATTCTCCTCTCGGGATCTTGGGCACTCACGCACACGCGCCCGGCGTTAGTTTAAGCCACCGGGTCCGAGACTTGAACCGTGGTCCACTACGTGGGAGTCCAGCGACATAGCCATTATGCTAACTGCTGGTCCCACCATCATGAATATTTTTAACTTCTAGCTGGGTATCTTACCAATATAGGGTATGTCCAGATTTATTTATAATTTTAAATAGTGTAATTAGAACATGAAAATAAATGTGAAGAACTGAGGAAAAGTTATTTTTTGGGGGAAAGGAGCAATAATTGCACTAATTTTTTTTCCAGAAGCTCAGATTTCTTAACTTTAAATATTAAGGTTGACTTTATTTAAATGGAGTATTATACTACAGTTTTTTATGAATAGTTACTGAGCAAAGTTTATTAAAATTAAGTCAAAGATTTTGTATCTCTTTCAGAAACTACATCTGACCAGAGTGATATTGAAGGTAGGATCAGAGCTCTGAAGGATGAGCTGCGGAAAAGAAAATCAGTTGTGGACCAGCTGAAGAAGGAACAGAAAAAAAGACAAAAGGAAAGACTGAAAGCCCAAGAAGCCAGTTTGATCAAACAGTTAGAGGTTAGTCATAGCAAGACTAGGACTTAATAGCAAGACTGTTGTGTGAAGACTAAAGTGTTTTTAATGTTCTTAATAAAGGAATGGATTAGGATTTTCCATATTAGTGTGGTGCCACATTTCATCCTAACTCTTTAAACATTAACTGAAATGTTAAATTTAAATATTAAAAGAACAAGTATTAGGGCCAGCCGGTGGCATGGAGATTAAGGTGGCTGGAGCCCTCATGGTTGATTGCATAATTCACATCCTGGACTAAGTGGCTTGAAAAACACTCTGTGTGCGTGTGTGCCCCAAATCCTGAGAGGTGAATGGAGAGATTGCAGTGTGGCCATCCCCACGGGCCCGATTTTTCACTTTCCCTCTCTCTCTCCAGCGAGTGCACACTCCATAGCGCAAACTAATACAACAAAACAAAGCAAACAAACAAAAAGAACAAGTATTAAAGGAAATATTAAAATAAGTCTTGTGTTCCTCAGTAGGAAAGGTTAGGCCTATGAAAGAACGATTAATGACGATGCCCTCTTAAGCAAAGAGCCATGAGATAAGTAATTCTAGCTATTGGAATTGTTACTGCTTCCTTTTGTCCTTTTCTTTTTTCTTTTCATTTTTGTTCTTTTTTTTTTTTAGCGGAATGATATTCCGTGCTGCACAGATGATTAGTGCAGCTCATCGTGTGACATGGGGGCCTCCTAAATGTTAACTCTAAATGTGACTTTCCTTCCAAGCTCTGGCAGCCTTCCTGGTATTGTCCCCAGCTAGAAACCTGGTTTAAATACTTTCTTTTTCTCTTTTCCCCCATCTACCCAGTCACCAGTTCCTGTTGGTTCTATGAAGTTTTTGCTTGTCCCTTTTCATTCCTACTGTCTTCAAGCCAGTTGGGGTCCAACGACCTCTTGCCTCTGTTACTTCCATACTTTCTTTTAAGTATCTGCCCCTGGCTGCGTCTCTGTTACACACATTCTGCCAGCCTAGTATTCCTCAGACACCGCACTTGTTATAGAATTGGTCTGAGTCTCCTACTTATTGTGAGAATCCTTTCTCGTGTCATTATGAAAAAAAGGTCATTTAGTTTTTACCTGAGCTCTGCAGCAGCCTAGGAAATTTCACATTTTCAAGGCACTTGGTTTCGTTGTTAGACTTTAGATGTTCTAAGTGTTAGAAAGCTCTTTGTTGTATTTAACCAAAGTCCCTATTCTTTTCATTTCCATTCATTGTTCCTTGTGTAACATCAAACACATTTATCCTACAGGTATTAAGTTAATCATTGACTATTTGAATGCCTGTTTATATGCCAGAAACACAGCTAGTGACGTGTATTTTTCATTTAATCTTCACAGCAGCAAGGTATTATCCCTGTTTTACAGATTAAAAACAATAATAATTTCACTGAGATTAGTGATTTATTCAGAGACATACAGCCCTAGGATTTTAATCTAGTTCTAATTCTAAATTGTGAGCCCTTTCTATTAAACTGTCTCCACACAGAAAATAGGCCTGTTAACAGATCTGGGAAAAATAAACATTTACACAGGTCCATAATGCAGAGATGGAACGGTGGTTATAAATTATGCAGGTGTTTAGAAATAGAGTAAGTGACTAAGACAGTGACCACGCTAGTGAGTTCATGTTGGAAAGTAGCAAGAAACAAAATTTACAAATGCAGATCATATTCAGGGTTTTAGACATCAGACTGGTATGTTTGAACTTCATCCTATAGATAAATAATGAGGAGCATTAAAGTATTATTGGAAATACAGTACTGCTTTTAGAGCACCTTTGCTCAGAAATGTTGATTAACAGCTTCCTCAGTCAGGCAATCCCTAGAGACGTGCCATAGGATCCATCTAATTCAGCATGTTATTGAATGCCATGAAGACAAAAGAAAATTCTGTATTTAAGTGATACAATTATAGTATATAAGAGAGAAATATATAATACCTAAGAATTATATGAGAAAGATAGATTGGCGTTTATTTGATTACAGATTTAGTAAATGTAAATGTGACTTTCAGATCTGAGTAGTCACAGTCCTCATGTACACCTAGCTAGCCAGACCATCTAGTCAATATCTGGAGAGTATGCTTAGTACCCTCAATATTAAAACTAACTTTCTCAAAACATCCATTCAGATGGCGGTAGCATGGATGATGAGAATTGTGTAGTAAGGATTTTAGCCCAGATTTTAGGGATCTGTAGCAATTGACAGGCATATCTCTATCTCCATTCTATATGTATTTATCATCAGCTTTGGACCCAACATTGGGAATCGACACTAGACATACCATTTTTTTTTTTTTTTTGGAGAGAGGTTTTTGCTATAGGGCGTGTGCACTCGCCAGAAAGACAGAGAGAGACAGGGAGACAGAAAACGAGAAATCACCCCCTAGGGGAGATGGCCACACTGTAATTCCTTCTCCTGCATTCTCCTCTCAGGATCTTGGGCATGCACATACACGTGCCCGGGGTGAGTTTAAGCCACCAGGTCCGGGACTCAAACCGTGGTCGACTACATGGGAATCCAGCAACATAGCCATTACCCTAACCGCTGGTCCCTAGGCGTACAATTTTGAACAAAACATCTATAGTCTCAAACTGTGAGAGCTGTAAAAGTAGATATTTTGGCCCAGAAAACTAAGGAGAGAGATAGAGATAGGTGACTCCCCATAAATTTCTTATACATTATAATTATAAATTAGTGAAGCATTGTTTACAGAATGGGTAATAACAAGAAAAAATTTCTGTAGTTATGAACTACTATGCCTTCCAACCACACCCTTTCCTTGTCAGAATTTGTATTCCTAAGTATTCATCTTTTAAGAGGCTTACTGCCAGGGGCTGGCAAGTGGCGTGGTGGTTAAGGGCGCTGGACTCCCACATGGCTGACTGCAGTTCAAGTCCCGGACCAACTTACTTTCTCTCTCTCTCTCTCTTTCTCTTTCTCTCCTCCCCTCCTCTCCCTCCCTCCCTTCCTCTTTCCTTCCCTCCCTCCCTCTCTCTCTCCTTTTCTCCCTCTCTTCCCACCTTCTCCTTCCACCTCTTTGATCAAATTTTTTTTTAAAGTAAATAAATAAAGTTAAATAAAATATTCTTTAGGCACCAGCAGTTGGCGTAATGGCTATATTGCTGGAATCCCATGTAGTCATCTGCGGTTTGAGTCCTGGACCCGGTGGTTTAAATTCACGCTGGGCACGTGTGCATGTATGCCCAAGATCCCAAGGGGAGAAGGGATTGCGGCATGGCCATCCCCCTGGGGGAGGTGATTTCTCGCTTTCTGTCTCTGTGTCTCTCTGTCTGTCTGGCAAGCACACGCGCCCTATAGCAAAAATCTCTCAAAAAAAAAAGTCTTAAAAAAAAAAGCAGTAGCAGCTTACTGCCATTGAAACTCAGGTTAAACTTCTTTAAAACAAACAAACAAAAAAACATGGAAGTGGTATCAGCAAATGGTGTAATGCTTACATCACTGGACTCCTATGTGGTTGACCACAGTTCAAGTCCCGGGCCCGTCATCTTAAAACTCACGCTAGAAGCATGTGCATGTGTGCCCAAACCCCCAAGAGAAGAATGGAAAAGAGATTGTGTCGTGGCCATCCCCCCTGGGGTTGATTTCTCGCTTTCTGTTTCTCTCTCTCCAGTGAGTGTACATGCCCTATAGCAAAAATCTCTCTTAAAAAAAGTACTATGAAAGTAATAGTATTTTTTTAAAGAACCATAACACAGTTAAAGAAGTTTTTAATGTGGCAAGGTATGAATTATTTCCTCATAAGTATTAAACTTCTGTAGACTATCATTTATTAAAGAGGATTGCAGTGATACAGTCTTGCCTTATATGTAGACTATTTCGAGAGGAGTATAGAAGAACTATGTGTAAAAGTTTGGGGAATGATACTGGGGGACAAAGAGGGAGGTTTCATATTACATCTTCTTTACTGTTGTAATATTTTACCATAACATATATTGTTTTATAATTTAAAATAGTTTTAAAATTCTGCCAAGTGACTCCTCCTATTTTTCTAAACTTAGTCATATGATGAATTCATTAAGAAAACTGAAGCCGAGCTTAGCCGAGATTTGGAAACATCACCAACAGCCAAGCCTCAGATTAAAACACTCTCCGCAGCTTCTGAAAAACCCAAGATCAAGCCCATCCCACTACACAGGTAGAAACTGTTGATAACTTGTTTATATTCTGCCTCACTTGGGAAAAGAGTAAGGAAAGGGAGCCAGACGGTCCCCCAGCAACAAAATATGACGCTCTGCGAGGCTGGCCCTGGGTGTGAGCTGGAGAATCCCTGTGTATGCCAAACACACATGTGCCCACAGTTAGGGCTGGCCAAGGCTGGGAATGAATCGTGGCGTCAAGACCCTGATGGGGTGCTCGCTCACTCTCTCCCCTTCATCATCTTTCTTGCTCACAAAAGAAAGAAATAAACTTAAAAAAAAAAAAAAGATTTTAAATTGGTAAAAGAGTAAGGAAAGGGAGCCAGACGGTCCCCCAGCAACAAAATATGACGCTCTGCGAGGCTGGCCCTGGGTGTGAGCTGGAGAATCCCTGTGTATGCCAAACACACATGTGCCCACAGTTAGGGCTGGCCAAGGCTGGGAATGAATCGTGGCGTCAAGACCCTGATGGGGTGCTCGCTCACTCTCTCCCCTTCATCATCTTTCTTGCTCACAAAAGAAAGAAATAAACTTAAAAAAAAAAAAAGATTTTAAATTGGTGTAGGCCTGTTGAAGAACAACTTGGCCTGTTTCAGATGTCAGAACTATCTGTAACCCTCGACCCAGTAATCCCACATCCGGAAATCTACCTTGAGAAAATATAAGGGTGCCAAAAATCGATTTGCATGAATGTTTATCATAACATCCTTTGTATTCATAAAACATTGCAAACAATCTTTATATCAAAAAATGGGTGTGTGGCAGCAAGTGGCATGGTGGTTAAGGCGCTTGATTCCCATATGGCTGACCATAGTTCAAGTCCAGACATGGTGGCTTGAAGATGACGTGTATGTGTGTGCCCAAATTCTCAGGAGGAGACTTAAGTAAAAGGGATTGCGGCAAGGCTGTCTCCCTGGGGGGTGATTTCTCACTTGCCCTTTCACTTTTTCTATCTGTAGTAAGCACAACATGACAAAAATTTTCTTAGAAAAGGGTGAGTACTCAATAAATTTTGTCTTTGTCCAGGTGATAGACTATAAGGAGGCTTCAAAAAGTTCATGGAGGGGCCAGCAGATACTATAGCGGTTACATCACTGGACTCCCACACAGCCCACTGCAGTTCGAGTCCCAGACCTGGTGGCTTAAAAAGTCATACCAGGCACATGTGTTTGCATGCCCAAGATCCCGGGAGGAGAACGGAGGAGAAGGGATAACAGTATAGCCATCCCCCGGGGGGTGATTTCTCATTTTCTCTCTTACTGTCTCTGGCTCACTCACTCTCTCTAACAAGTGCACACGCCCTTAGGCAACAAAACAAAACAAAACAAAAAACCTCTTTAAATAAACTTAATGGAAACATAGGGTTAAAATATGAGTTTATGGGGTCGGCAGGTGGTGTGGCAATTAGAGGCACTGGACTCTCCCACAAGGCTAACCATGGTTTGAGTCCCGGACCTGGTGGCTTACTTTCCTCCCTCACACCCATCTCTCTCTGGTCAAGTTAAAAAAATACTTATAATGGTAAAATTAAATAATTCTTTTAAAAAATATGAGTTTATTTTGGTGCAAAAAGTTTTTAAATCCATACATAGTGTTTCTAGAATATACATTTTCCATGAACTTTTTGAAGGCCCCCTGTATTATGCAGCCAGTCAGCAAATACAGACAATACTAAGTAGCAAGATTATAGAATATAATATAGCATATTAAAAGGTCAGGCTGAAATATTGAAAATAAAGTTTGAACAAAAAGTAAGGGTTAGGCAGATCAGTACATCTGAGAAGTAGGAGGTATTTCAGAAAGAAGTGCATTCAGGAATGAACAGAAACAAAAGGGAGATTGGCATATCATATGAGGTGACCATAATAGGAGTTAGCAGAACAGACTGGAAAAATAAGGAAAAGCCAAATTGTGAAAACTCTGTACTCACATATCCTCGGTAGTTTGTATTTTGCCGTTTAGAAGAGGTGGAACTTTGAACTTGGATCCTGGTTCTAGCACCAGCTAACTGTGCAACTGGGCACTTATTTAGCCTCTCTCCACTGCAGATTTAACGAAAGGCCCAGCCATGGTGGCACTTGCTACTAAGACACTGTGCTGTGCAGGCTGGGGTCACACGGGAGACACAACACAGGTTTGGTTCCTGGTCCAGCCTGAAGACCAAGCACAGTGGCATGAGCCTGTAATCCCAGTGACTCTGGAAGCTGAGGAAAGAGGATCCCAAGTTTAAAGTTGTCCTGGGTAACAAAGTGAGATCCTATCTAAGAGAGCTGGGCGTGGTAGTACACACCTGCAGGCCCAGCTAGGCACTGAGACAGAAGGCTTGCCATGGCAAGACCCTGTCTTAAAAAATAAGGTTTAACTTAGAATAGGGCCTAGCAGACGGTAAGTATTATATTATATATTAGCTGTTGCTATTGTTATTAGCATAGTTAGGGAAGCAGTAAAAAGAAAAAAGTTTAAATCATATTCTACCCAGTTTTCCCAAAACAGCATATATAAACAATTGCATTTATTTCCTTCCAGGATTGATTATGCTCAGTCATATGTGTATTTTTTGTTACATACACATTTTTCCAGTATATTATCAACAAAATTTCATTTGAATTTCTATATAATATACTGTCAAATAGCTGTATAGTTTTCTTACTCAAGTTGCTGAAAGGTTTTAACCCTGAAAGTGGCACAGTTAGATTTGTGTTTTTGTTTTAAAGAATTATTTATTTAATTCTATTTGTTATTGTTACTGTTATTATTATTTTTAATTTGATCAGAGAGAGAAAGGGAGGCTGGGGTCACACGGGAGACACAACACAGGTTTGGTTCCTGGTCCAGCCTGAAGACCAAGCACAGTGGCATGAGCCTGTAATCCCAGTGACTCTGGAAGCTGAGGAAAGAGGATCCCAAGTTTAAAGTTGTCCTGGGTAACAAAGTGAGATCCTATCTAAGAGAGCTGGGCGTGGTAGTACACACCTGCAGGCCCAGCTAGGCACTGAGACAGAAGGCTTGCCATGGCAAGACCCTGTCTTAAAAAATAAGGTTTAACTTAGAATAGGGCCTAGCAGACGGTAAGTATTATATTATATATTAGCTGTTGCTATTGTTATTAGCATAGTTAGGGAAGCAGTAAAAAGAAAAAAGTTTAAATCATATTCTACCCAGTTTTCCCAAAACAGCATATATAAACAATTGCATTTATTTCCTTCCAGGATTGATTATGCTCAGTCATATGTGTATTTTTTGTTACATACACATTTTTCCAGTATATTATCAACAAAATTTCATTTGAATTTCTATATAATATACTGTCAAATAGCTGTATAGTTTTCTTACTCAAGTTGCTGAAAGGTTTTAACCCTGAAAGTGGCACAGTTAGATTTGTGTTTTTGTTTTAAAGAATTATTTATTTAATTCTATTTGTTATTGTTACTGTTATTATTATTTTTAATTTGATCAGAGAGAGAAAGGGAAAGCGAGAAAGCAAGTCTCCAGGTCCAGGACTCAAACCGCGGTTGGCCATGTGGGAATCCAGCCCCTTTAACCACCACACCACCTGCTGGCCCCTAGTTTTGTGTTTATAGAGATCTTTCTGACCACAATACAGGGGAAAGTTGGAAAGCAGTAGACTTAGAAGCAGGAAGAAAAATAATGTAAGCCAGGCATCAAAGCTTTAGTAAGAATAGAAATAGGAGACACATTTGAGGAAGGATGAAGATGTAGACTTGAGTAGTTACAGTGCTCAGTGGGAAGGAGGGACCCAGCCAGGATGACTTCCATGTGTCTTAGGTAGTTGATTAGGTTAAGGTGTCATTGGGCTGATTGGAAAAGCAGGTGTTTTTCTGTGGGAAATGTATGTTTTGGTTTTAAATGTTATTTTTGAGGTGCTTATAGTTCATCTAAGAGTTATCCAGGAACGTTGCCAGAATCTGAAATTTGGGGATGATCAGCTTATAGGCAGAGGTCAAAGCCATACACAGAGCAACATCTCCCAGAGAAGAGGCACATTGCAGAGTATAATGGGAGCCGAGTATTAATGCAGAGGAATAGCAATTTAAGGATTATAAAGAGATAGGAAGTAGAAGCTGAATATCACAGCCTAGTAAATGAAGAGAAGGTAAGAGAATGAAGAGAAGGGCCAGTGGGTGGTGGTGCAGTGGTTAAGGCAACCTGACCCCACATGGCCAACAACATAGTTTGAGTCCCATCCATGCCCAGTGGCTTGAAAATCACACCACACTCATGTGCAGGCATTACCCAAAATCCCAAAGGGAGGGAGAGATGGAGGAGAAAGGATTGTGGCGTGACCATCCCCCCATCGGGGGTGCTGTCTTACTGTCCCTTTCTCTTTTTCTCTGTGTCTCCAGCAAGGGTACATGCCTTCTGGCAAATAAAGAAAAGAAAATGAAGATAATGAATGTAGTCTTTCCTGTTAATGATCAAGAATAAGGGAGGATAATAGCATGGGGTAGAGGAATGAAGGAAAGAGGTTTTGAGGCATAATTATTAGCTGAGGGAGAAATCAAACTCTAATTGGACAAGTAAAGAGAGTGAATAATTGCGGAACACTACTCATGAGTCTATAAAGATTATGGAATCTGGGGGCAGAAAAAGTTTGAGCAATTAGCTTTGATCAAGTAAGAGACACACAGTTCCCCCCGTAAGAGGAGGAAAGGCCGTTGGGCTACGTGAGCATAGACCGATGTGTGGGTAGAATGATGGAGGTAAGGGAATTGATGTGTGATGGTCTGTTTTTCTCACCACAAGTCAAGGTCATCTACTGAGTGATGGGGGCCAGAAATAAGCTTAAAGAAAGTGGTAAAGGCTGAAATACCTCCTGTGGGAAAAGGAAAGAAGTAGTCATTTAAGAATATTTGCTTTTTGTTATCAGTTACTATAGTATCAGCAGTGTATTTAATTCTGCTTATTAATTTTTCCACTTCAGATCTGAAACAACAAAAAATTGGAAATCATTAACAGAATCAGAACGTTCTAGAGGATCTCTGGAGTCTATTGCTGAACATGTTGGTATGTAAACTAGAAAAAATAACCAGTTGTATCAGCATAGTCTAAGTAAGAATTTTGTATGCAAAGGCCTACAAAATTCTACCTCTACAACCTTTTTATTAAAAAGTGAGTTTTGTGGGACAGCCCTATAGCACAGCAGTTTTGCCCTATGCAGAGGAACCTAGATCCCACCTGATTGTCCAGGGTTCAAGTCCCAGCCCCAGTGACTTGAAAAACATTCTGGGCATGCACATGTGCCCAGGATTTTGACAGGATGGACAATTAGAGAAGGATGGTGGTGTGGCCAGGCCCATTGAGAGGGCACTTCTCTCTCTCTGTCTCTTTCATGTGTGCACATGTGCCTGCTGTCAATTAAAAAAAAAGTTAAAAAAAGTTAATTTCTTAAATAGATAATTTAATATTTTAAGTTACTTTAATATTTTAAAGTGATTTATTGGTTATGGCTATGCATAATTATTATACCTCAGTCTTTATTGCGCCAAATTTATGATAAAAGCTGAGGCATGCACCCAGCCATGGTGGTGCAGCAGTAGCTCAGTGCCCTCCAGTGCTGGAAGCCACATGGGAGAGTTCCCAGGCTGACCTGCACATGCCAAGTGTGCACGTGTGTGGCGGCCATCCAGACGGCTGGGAAGGACTAGGCAGGAGGGATGGTGACGTAAGATCCTAAGGCGGATGCTTCTCTCGTTCTCTCTCAAGAAAAAAGTTTTTAAAAAACACTTGTATCATGAAAAAAAAAAAAAAAAAAAGCCAAAACTGAGGCATAAACAAGTATATCATCAGCATCTCTAAATTCCTCCTTAATCAGATTTTATATCTGTATATATTTTCAGCCTATATTATTTCTCATGGTATATGAGTACGTACACTTTTTTTTCAGTTTAACCAAAGGTAACTATAAATAAAATCTAATGCAATAAAATAAACAAAACTAAAGCATGAAAATCTAAAACTAAAATAAAATCTAATGTAATAAAATAAAACTAAAGCATGAAAAGCTTGCCTAACATCAGTGACAAAATAAAGATTTGAGGGGCCAGTCTGTGGTGTGGTGGATGAGGTGACTAGATCCCATATAGCCTGCCACGCAGTTCAAATCCTGGACCCTGTGGCTTGAGAATCATACTCTATGTGTGTGTGTGTTTGTCTAAAATCCCAACAGGAGAGAGAAATGGAGAAGGGACTGTGGCATGACCATTCTCCATCGGGGTTGCTTTCTCATTTTCCCTCTCTTACTTTCTCTCTGCCTCTCTTCAGCAAGTGTACGTACCTTCTAGCAAAATTAAAAAAAAAAAAGATTAATTCTTGATTTACTAGTGCATTAATATCATAATTACTTTCTTACTTTGCATATTTAGCTCTTAAAGAGCTTTATTTGCAGATAGTAGCATGTTGGTTGGGGACTGGACTTCTGCATGGCTAACCATGGTTCAAGTCCTGGACCTGAAGGCTTGAAAATCAGGCACATGTGCATGTACCCAAGATGCCAAGGGGAGAATGGAAGAGAGGGGTTTGCAGTGTGACCATTCTGGGGGGGTGATTTAGCTCTTCTTTCTTTCTCTCTGTCTCTCTCCAAGAGATTATGTGCCCTACAGCAAAAAAAAAAAAAAAAAAAAGTTGCTTATTTCTTTCCTTTTCATTTTACATTCAAGAGCTTAGTTGAAATCCCAAAGAACATTCATTGTTTTAGAAGCATGTATAGCAGTATATTTATCCCTTCCTCCTTGGTTTCCTGTTTGAAAATGTATGTAGGTAGCATCCATCATAAAATTCTCGTTTTGCATGATTTGGGAATGACTGTGTAAAGTAATGGCTCCATAAACTTAGATCCAATTTTTTTCACTTTTGAAGTTAACACTTAAATTATTGTAAATTTTAAGTTGTTTTGTAATTTTAAATATTCTATTATTTATTGTTGGCATGGTATATTCTCTTTAAAAAAACAAACAAACAAACTTGGGGGCAGCAGGTGGCGTGGTAGTTAAGGGCGCTGGGCTCCCACATGGCTGACCGTGGTTGACTTGGCAACAGCTTGCTTTCTCACTTTCCTTTTCTCTCTCTCTCTCCTTATCACTCTGTCTCTTTCTGATCAAGTAAATAAATAAAAGTTAAATAATTATTATTAAAAATGGTCTTACCTTAAAGGTAATCAAACGAGGTCTTTTTTATTGACTAGAGCTTTTTTCCACCAAGATTTGGCTTTTATTTAAACATGGGTCTTAGAAACTGAAATAATTCTGTGATGAAATAATTCTGATTTTTTTTTCTTTAAGATGCCTCACTGTCAGTTTCTGAGAAATCAGTATCCGACAAATCTTTATCTGCATATGCAAAGAGAATGATTGAATTGGACAGTCGAATAGATGAACGTTTTCAGGCCCCATCTCCAATTCTCAGATCATCACGGAATACCAGGGCAGAATCAGGAGATTCTCTGGAAAATGCACCTTCATTACCTCTCATCAAAGAACTAAATGCCTCTCATAGTATTCTTGATGTGTTGGATGTCAAGGTTGAACATTCCAGTCAGCAATCAGAAATACAAGAAGTGGAATATGCAAAATTGGAGGGGAGCGAGATTGAAGATGCCTATTCTAAACAATCTGGGAAAT